TTTAGAAACTTAGCCCCTTTATTCATTTGTTTAATCTGAAGTTCACCGCGTATGCCATTTGGCCACTATATCTCCAATCAGTTAAGCTTTTCAATCACTGACCTGAACTGCATCCTGACATCAAAATCGGGGTCCTCAATAAGATCAAAGCACGTTGCACTAACTATAGATCTTTGAGCTTCATTATCAGGTGCCACAGCCATGTGTGTAAACATTCTTTTCATGCTCTTAATGAAAGCGCACTTGACGGAAGAGCTTGCTTCAGGAGAGATAAGTTGAAGGTAAGGAATGAAGTTTGCTGCATTTACTATGGCATGAGGTTTAGTTCCCTCCAAGTCATCTAGAAAGGAATAAAAGGGTAAGTTTCTAGAGAAACTTCTGTGTTACGTCAGTGTGGATGTTACATGATAATTTGGTTTTGTCGACTGAGTTGATAATGTAACTTGGCCACTGTAAAGAATATAAAGCTGACGTTTCGAGCGTGAACCCTTCGTCAGAACAAAGGGCTCGCGGTGGCAAAATTACATTACTGCACAGCATAGTCACATGTCCCTTTCCGCGGTCAAATGACATGTAAATTTCATGATTTAGTTAAATATTATAGATCCAATTCGTTAAAAACTGATTGGCCCCTTCTGCCCTAGAGATACACTCAAGAGCATTCTTTCAACTCATTGGTCAGTTTGATTGGTCAAGATTCCTCGTTCGGTTCGTTGGTTACCGTTGTTCTTGATGTCAAGAAGTTGGTTCTGCATAGAGGTTAAGGCATAAAAATGCTTGAAATCTGTTGAAAAGAGTCTGTTCTGAGTCAGAAAAGCAGCTTTCTTAAGTCTAAAGTCGTTTAAGTCATGAGTTTTCTTTACAGCATTAAGTATTTCGTTATACCAAAAACCATTTCAATTTGTTACCTGCTTTGTTTTGAATAACAGAATCACAATCAGGGCAAAGAAATGTGATGCTGCTGGAGATGGACTTATGAAAAGGCAGTTCGTTCCTCAACTTCTTTATTACTGTATTCTCTGTAAGCACGCAGGCTAATGACCCAATAGTTTTGGCAATTTCTACTTGGACACCTTCACCGCAGGAGAGGAGCCCAGGAAGAATATTATTGATCAAGTGGAAAGAGTAGGAGCCAAGAGAGGACAGCAACAGAGGTAAATACTTGAGAGCCACAATCTTCATGTCACTTGTATCTTTCTGTGTAAAAGAATAAACGACAGCAATGTTGAATTTCAAGCAAAGAAATGATCCTAGCAGGTGGACTGCACTTAAGTAATTGTAGAAAAAAAAGCCTAAAAAATTCATGGTTCGACGGGATTGGGTTTACCATCAACTGAGCTGCAAAGCCACACGATGGAAGGGAGGTAAATTTTCGAGGGCTCATATTTCCCATAAAGGAATCTGATCGCAATTTTGATTAAAATAAATTTCAATTGAGCTGCAGATAAAAATCAAGCAAAGGAATTGTGATTATGATTTCTTTGCTTAGTTTTCATCCGCAGGTCAATTGAAATTTCTTTCATTAGAAAATAAATTGTAGCGAGCAATGTATTACTGTTTTGTAAGGGAAACCAATGTGAGTAAAAAGTAACGAGAATCTTTTCAAAAGACACAAATCACCATTATTATGGCCTATCCTAATGAAAGCTACTTCCAGGATCTAAAGGCGCCAACGGAAGGCCAAGGTGAGAAGACGTAGAAGACCTTAAGCGTCGATAAATACCAGCGCGCAAATCATAATTACTCTCATGCTAACTTGTAATTTGCCGTGAGAGTGACGCAAGTCTGCCACTCCAATCAAACGGAGGCGATACCTGTCGGAGCCACATGAACATTACACATTCATTTAAAAACTTTCCTTTGAACATCAAACAAATGAGTGCTATCCCTTAATAATATCATTCACGCACGAAAACTTTGAAAGAAATGCCCCTTACAAGAACTAGAAGAAGCACTTGCATTCTCCAGGTTGGCGCTGCATCCAGAACTGCCATCAAATGAAGACAATCGACCCTACTGTCTCTGTCAATCACAGGATCAAGTGACCTCCCGACTCTGACCATGCCGTCCAGCGAGAGACCAAACCCATGCGGAAGATCGACCCACGGAGGATCACTCTTTGACAGCCAAGGAATGGATACCAGAAATATAAAGAACTGGCATAATGCCAGAGGGATGTGAATGACATCTGATATGCTGTACAATGCTCCGCAGAGCTGTACAAGTTTTCTAAAAGACGAATCAAGGATATCAAATTTCCCTGTGTCTTGCGGCGAAAGCTCTGCAGTCTGGACAATGATTTGAAGAGATATTTTAAACATGGAGAAAAGGTGGCTGAGATCCAAGCTTGTAAAAAACTCTAAAAAAGAAAAACTAAGTTTCAATTTCAAACGGAAATCAAAGTTGTTTTATGTATCTACTTAAATGTAATTGTCTGTAACTCAGCTGCCATATTCCATTGAGGACGGTGTGTTTCATGGTTTAAGGATGTTTTGTGTCAACTCTGTGTTTGTTCAGTTACATGTTCGATGTTTCGATGAAGGCGACTTTGCTCAGAATTTGCGGTAAAAACAAGTTTAACAGCATAACAGCGACATTGCATCTCGACAGCCAACAACATGAATCATAGTGAACACCAGAAGTAGAAAAGTCTGCATCTTTAAACATAATAGGTGACAAACTCGAAAACTATTTACAAAACAATAACGCAAATCAGAAGACATGATACAATACAATATCAATACAATATCAAGTATACAAGTGACGAGAATAAAGAAATATATCAGTCAAGGGACTATTAGTTGATCCAATACCAAATTCTCTGAACTAACATCACAAGAACTGTATGGAAGACGGTAAGGAGGGTTACGAATGAGATCTTAGGAGTAAAAGGGTTAACTAATCACGTAGGAATTTTGAGGGGTTCTCACTTATGATCTACTAGAGGAGAGTCGTATAAATGATGTCAACCCATAACAATACTCCCCTGTGCAACTTAACCCTTTCCACCCTAACATCAGTATGCATATTTTCCATACTGTTCTTTATACATTTTCAAAGGAGGTGAGAAAGAGAATTTCTTTAACAATCAACAGCCTTTTTCAGTTGGTGATCATTTCCGTTATTCTCATGACCTTCATGTGTGTTTCAGGGGTGATATTATAAGGAGAAATTAGATGTTAGTCACTCTTAGGGGGCAGAGGGTTAATAGCTGGAGACTAACAGGCTGCGACTTTCGGTGCCAGTCAAATAGTATCACATATCTTTCCCGCGCTAAATAATCTTGAAAGTGCCTTTTCAAGTTTTAAAATGTATTTTCAAGTTTTTAAATAAATGAAAACCTTTAGAGACATTGATTTAGATACAATAATGGTAAATGAAAAGTACGAGATTAGTACTTTTCAAAAGTGAATGATACTTTTGTTAATTTCCCAAATTGCCATATACTGTGCTTCACAAGATCACCTTTAATCTCACTTAAGCCACTTGGATTTTCCGCGCTGAGGTTCCTTGTTTGGTGACTACAAAGGTGAACCATCACTTCCACAGTGACTCTGACGCCTTCCAGCTCACAGGCGAACTCATCCTTACGATAAAAATGTACACAAACAAATTAGGGTCGAGAAAGATTTTTTTAAAACAGTTTCAGTTTAGTTTCCACTCGAAATAAAGTAAGACCAGCGCTGTAGTATAGCAGATACGTTTGCAATTTTTAGTAGAATCCTCTGCCTCTGACTCCGCCCTACCACCCACTCCCCTCCCCCACAAGCCAATCCCACGCAAAACAAAAAGCAAATGAATTCGCACTTACCAAATTAGGCAACTTTTCATCTCCCTTACGTATTATAGACATGTTAAGTACTTTGATTCTTTCAAGAAGTCTTCTCATTGTTCCTGAACTTGAGTCATTCGTTTTCTTTTTGCTTGGCAGAGAAGGCTGTAAATTGGTGGTCATTTTTCTTTTCTTTGATGAGCTAGTCTTACTGTGCAAGAGAGAAAGCATTTACAAAACTATTTATAAACTGTGCCAAGAATACTTAAAGCCACTGAACTGCACCCAAATTATTACAACATCACCACTGGATAGTTAGGTACAGTATGCGTTACTGAGCATGTATAAGGTCAAGATGACTGAATATTGACCGCGGTCGTTTTTAAGCACCGAGACGAAGTCAAGGGCCATAAAAACACCAAAAGGAAACGAGGGTAATATCCAGAAGTTTTTAACGATCAAACTTGGTCAATAACGGTTGTATCATATAGCATAATTATTTCACTTTAATTAGAATCGAGTATTCGAGAGCCGGGAAAGAAATCCACCTGTACCTGTAGCACACTAAACCCACGAGAGTCGTTTATGTTTTTTACTTGTTTTCAATGACTCCTGCTGCCTTTAGGGACTTCATCGCCTACATTGTTCAAAACTTGCGAACTTTTTAAGTCCGCTCCACACTAAATTTTTTTTATTGCGCTGGCAGGCAAGAGGGGATGTCTCGCCTGCTCAGGTAGCCAATGATATGACGGGATTCGCTTCATATTACCCACGGACGACGCAAGCTATATGATAAAGGTAGATATTAAGGATAGAACGTTGTCACAAACCTCTCCATTGTTTCTTCACTTGAGACCTCATCTGTTCCTGAGGCATCAGACTAAAAGATCAAAAAGAAAACATTGGCTACAGGGAATAAATACTCCTTGTTCACACTTTAAGAAAAGGGATGGTTGAGGACAGAAATTTTAAAAGGCATCAAAGAAGACGGAAGTGAAGACTGGGACTACAGGAAAGACGGAGGTGGCAAACGCAACAAAAAGTTGGCAAAGGAGACAAAGATGATGAATAAAAGAAACGAAGAACGAATGGGTGAAGAAGATGACACCATAGACATTATAGCAATGACATGCCCATTTTACTAGTCAAAATGGTTTTGGTGTTGTTTACTTGAATTTCTTTCAAACCAAAGTTTATGGCCTTAAACCTTAGGTCACTTCTCCCAGATAGACTGACATTTAGAAATGTGACCAACATGTGCTTGTGTATCCAAGGATTGTTTTCAGTTACCTTGACACAAGTTGTGCCCTTCTTGTTGCACCTATCTGCAATCACTGCCTCAAATAAGCACTTAACCAAGAACTGTAGGAAAAAAATGCAATCATGACATTTCTCAAAAAAAAAAAAAAAAGTTATAGCTTCATCATTAGGTGTTGTGAAAGAATTACACAGAGCAAGATAATAACAAAACAATCAATCCCTCAATGCTATTTCTCCTGAATGGAAAATTTATACATGAAGTTGTTGCAAGCTGGACTTAGATGGCTTAATCATAAGAAGATCATCACCTCTCTCTTTGAGTACACTTTAAATGTATAGTTTGTTTCCCCCTTTTTTTAAGTACAAGTATACCCTTTAGCTGCAGGTGAAATGGTGGTATAGTCATTAGTACTCTGGGTTCAAGAACAGAAACACCTTGGCCAGGATCCTTGTGTTGAGTCTCTAAGAAAGACCCCTGGTTCCAAAGTTCCACAACATGAGTTCTTCTCCCCTCCCACAAAATGCTGAAGGGGGTAACCTAAATGGACTTAACCCTTTAACTCCCAGAAGTGATTCACATGTAATTTCTCTCTACAATATTCATCCACTATCCAGCAAACTGGTATTAAGAGTACTCAAATGTATCAGGTAGAAGCTGCTTTCTTGATCTAACACCGAATTCTTGTGACTAATTCACAAGTAGGAGTAGCAGCTGGAGGGGAGAATTAACAATCAGATCTTGAGGGTTAAAGGGTAAACCCCCTAAAAAGAGGTTCCTACTCACTCCTGTCTATGAAGACAAGCCCCAGAGATGTAGACCTCTTAGATTGTGAGCAGAAAATTAATTTACAGCTTAAAGCTGCATTTCTATAAATTCCTGTGACAACTTAGCAGTTTAGAAACACTTTTACATGTTTGGTGCTGAATGTGCATGTCTGTCTCCCCAGAACTTTTTCCAAATAAAAGCACTTACCTGTTGCTGTTGTTCAGTGCCAAGGTAACTAACTATACACTTATTTATGTCATCTCTGACATGGTGTTGCGTTAAAAGACCAGTCTTTCCAGTGTTGATGGGCACATTTTTGTAAATGCCAGAAATGAAATGACATACAGCCACCTGACAACAAGAAAATATAAACAATCATACAGTTAGCAAGTGTAAGACAAAGCAACTGGGCCTAGTAATTTAAAGGGAAGATATCATGAACCATTTAACTCCCATGAGTGACCAAGACAGAATTGCTCCTTACATTATTAATGTTAGTGAGGCAGACTAGTGATAAGAATAAAGAAAAATATCAATTAGGGAATTATTAGTTGATACAATACCAAATTCTCCAAACTAACATCATAAGAAATGTATAACAGACTGTAAGGAGAATTACTAATGAGATCCTTGGAGTGAAAGGGTTAATGGACAAATACCTATCCAACAACTAAGTGTCCACTAAACGCACTGCACTATACACTGGATAAAGATTTATCCACCGAATAGCATCATCCACCTTCCTTACAACTGGGACCTGATAGTTTGCATACTAGTTAAGGGTTGCAGCTACTGCCATAGCAGGTGACTTCTCGGCAAGAAGGAAAAGTCACTCAACTGTTGCAAATGGTACTCAGGCACTGCTTGAAACTGACTTGGTTCAATTCATGCAAATGTAACTTTTATCAAAAAAAAAAAAAAAAAAAAAGTATTGCACCTTTAACTCTTTGGTCAGAAATTTCTGCAGACCGCCTCCACGAAAAACACTTCTAAGCTTCAAAAGAAAATATTTTACATGCCATGTAGGAAATGCATTGAGAGATCTTTCTGATGTTGAGCCTGTGAGCTGCAGTGGATCTTTTTTCCCAGATGGAAGGTCTGTTGATAGGACATCTAAGCACTTAGCTACACTGACCTCCAATGTGGTGAGTTTTTCTCTGTAGACATTAAGAGGGGAAAGGAAAGTTAAGTCTGCATACAGTTTTAGAAGGTTACATAAGACTATCTACATGGTTCTCCAGCAAGTAGGAGATTCCTTTCTGAATGGAGTGGCAGTCCAGTGCAGTCTCGTGGATATCTTCAGTCAATCTTTCCCAATATTTGGTAAGAAAAGGACCTCCAGTGCATTACCTTACTAACTTCCAAAATTGCTAAGCTAACCCTAAAAGAGTCTTGGATAAAATAAGCCTGAGATAATTATTTCCATTCCTTCTTTTAAACCTGCTTACCTAGAAATACAGCAATAGGGTCTAAGATAATAATAAGAGGGCTTCCACATTCCTTTATTACAACATAAAAACTGTCTATAACTCCATTAATACTCAGCAAGACATGAAAACATATTTACCGCCCATCTACTGGAATTTTAGAGGCAACTCCTGATACCAAAAGCTCTAGTAAAGAGCAAAGGCATTTGACAAACTTGTCCAGAAGAGGTACACTGGGAAGTCCACTCCAAGGTAGCAGACCTGTTATTATATCTAGTGCTGCCTGAATTAAAAAGATTTACTGGCAGTTAATCAAAATAAAATGCCTGACAACTCTACATTATCAACAAGCCAACAAAAAGGGTGAAAAAGATATCTTCTATTGGTAATGGAACAATAGAAGTATTAAAATTAACATTTGATCAAATTTTGTAATGGATGCTAAGCAATTAATTTTCTGTTGCTGCATTTTTCAAGTATGCCAAGTAACTCTTTAACAGAGTTAAAATTATGAACTGATGCTAGTAATGCTAAGTAATGAATTATTTGATTAATGTTAGCATCGTAAGTAGGTAATAATTGTGGGGAATTCATTGTAGGTAGATCATTGTAAGTAGTGTATTGTAAGTAATGCATTGTAAGTAAGGTATTGTAAATAATGTGTTGCAAGAGAGTTGATGAATAAATCATACATTGTATACTGTCAGTAGCCTACACTGTTGTAAAGAAAAGAAAAAAAAATTTACACCTTTCAAATTTTGGTCAAGTCTTAAAAGAATTGTAGCAGCCTATTAATACTATGCACAAATTATTTTACTAGAAAGGATGGATAGGAAAAAGAACTCTAATTTTAGATTATTACTCATGGAAACAAACCTGCTTAATGCGAAATAGACCAGTCTGAAGAAGGTGGCAGCAGATGGTCCATAAACTTGTCACACTGCTGTGATTATATTGGTACATATCACAAACCAAATGGCTGATAATTTTACTTAAAAGAATCAAGAAATAAAAATTATTTTTAGTTTTAGATAGGAATAAAAAAAATTGTTCTCAAAGAATTTGTGTCATGAAATCCGCAAACCCTAAAATGAACTGTTTTTCATTTGTCTCATGATGTAGTCATGTGTTATGTAGATCATGATGTTTCGACTGCATACTGCTAGTCTTCTTTAGGCGACAAGGTCAACTGGTCATGTGTGATCTTATAAAGTTATCTGTTGTTGTCTTTTTTTTCTTATCAATTGTAATCTTACTTCATTGATTTGAGTAGAATGTAACATCAGTTTTATAGCTAGCCATATAAAACTGCATTTTAACTCCATTATGTCAGTCAAAAAAATTAGTATCAAATTTCATCAGTACATGCATTCAGTTGACCTCAGTTTCTTTGATAGGAAGATCAGAGCCTTAATGAGAAGTTCACATAAACTGTTACTTCTAACTGAGTCGAAACTATAACTCTATATACTGTACTAACATCTGCAGTGAACAACAAACCTTGTTCCTTCTTGTAAAGTATGGCAATCTTCTGCATGCTTGATACAAATGAACTTCTTCACCATGTTGAGCTCCTCCTATAAAAAAAGATAAACATATTTTAAAATGTGAAATGATAACTGATAATGTGAATAAAATAAAAAACCCAGCTTAAAGGCTCATAACCAGTCACTCTCAATTATTATCAGTGTACAATGTAGGTTTGAACTGAACTACATTTAATTACTCAGGTTAGTTTGAGATTTAACAACCCTTTAATACCACTCCAATAGGGAGTCACCACTCGTTTCATTCTTGATCTTAGAAATATGTGATGGACCTCTCAAATACAATAACCATACCTCTTTATCACAGGTTTCTGTGTACTGAAAATGGCCAAGATAGAGAGGCAAAGCATCAACAGGACAGGTGCCAGATGAAAACAATTTTTCATCAATCATTACAAGGTCTGAAGTGAGAAATTGATAAAATGATCATAAACAATCACTCAAAACAGAAGTCTTACCCTTAGCTAGTAAATGTACAGGTCTTCCCAACAATCAAATCAAGTGTACAATTTGTGGTCTCACTTGATTTACTGGCCGATGTAGTGACAGTTGGTTGAGCTATAAGTCGTTCAATAGTCAGCCAATAATTGGTGTATACTTGGTCACTAACTAGTCAAAAGTCCAAGGCTAGTAAGCCACCTGTGTGACCAACAGAGAGCCAATAAATGAATAAGAAAATGAACTTCAGAATAAAGCACACCACTTATTAATCAAGCAGAAGTGAAAATAAGACCTGAAAAAAATTCAGGCCTGTACAAGATTTGATCCCGTGACCTCTGCCATACTGGTGCAGTGCTCTATCAACTGAGTTAACAGGCATTATTTTCACTACTGCTTAAATAGTGTTCACTACTGCAGAGATCACTTTCAAATTCATTTCAAAATCCACAGTTCACATATTAATATGATTTTCATATATTCACAGTCAGAGAGCCAACATGTGTAACAGTTGAAAAGTTAGTCCACTATCAGGACATTAAGACATTGGATACACAGTGCTGTTGGATAATCAATCTTCATTGGACTTTTTTATTACTTACCCTCCCAAAGTGAAACAAATTCTGTAAGACATGTGTTGTAATATACTAGGTCTTTTCCTTTCACAAGCTGTTGGAGACAAATAGAGGTGATCAGTGATGGTAAACACAATAACTTAAAATGTGCCAGTCATACACATAACTCATTATTGTGAGTTATACAATGTAAACAATCATTAAATAAATGTTTATCTTTCAATATAGTTACAAAGATAGTGAATTTTTGGCTTGCTAGTAGAATAAGGAGATTTATTATTTGGTTTGTCACAAGTTATAGACAAAGGAAAAATACAGAGTTCCCATATATGGATTCAAACCTCAGACCTCTGGCACTTCAATTTTCTACCACTGTGCTTTAGAGAACTCTACAGTCAGTTAGGCCATTACTATTTCTGTAGGTTTGTGTGTGGCATGTGTCCCAAATAATACTAGAATTAGCTGGTCTGATTTGAGCAAATAGACCAGCGTAAAACCTAGCAACAGCCTAACTCACCATCAAATCCTTTGTGGTTCGGTGATAAAGCATTTAGGTACAGAGCACATCTACATGTACCAGACAAACAGTTACTTCTCGTACTCACCTGCATTAATGACAGAATGGCAGACACCGATTTGTCATGCAACTGAGAGCAATCTGGCTCAGCAAGAACACAAAGAATTCTTGAGAGGATCCATGATGTAAAAACTGTCAGAAGAAGATTTAGGTAAGTAACATGATGCAAACTCTTAAAAATATCATTTTTTACTACTTTATATCAGCTTGTGCATCAGTGTAGAGAGACTTGTGTGTAATGACACAGCTGACCCAAGGTCTACCATTGGTAGAAAAACTAATGATAACACCACTCTCTTATTAATTTATCATCTCTCGTTTTCCTAACAGTAGTGTGGAAACAAATTGTTAGTTTGGCTAAGAGTTTGCATTGATGAAGGCTACAGTTTTAGTAAACTGGGGTTTGGAAAAGAAACCAAGTAAGAATTAATAATGAAATCCTTAAATTTCTGTTTACCTTTTCCTGATTTGCAGATCTTGTTACCCTGTGAACTGGATGTTCCAATGACAAGTATCCCATCATTTGTATTCTGGGGTTCTAAACTAACAAAGCATTCTGGGAATGCATCCAGGCAATGATGTAAGAATTGCCAAAAGATCTCAGAATGAGGTGTACCTCCAGTCTTTCGTGATAACTGGACAGCAACTGTAAATTTAAGTATGCAAAAATTAAAGATGTTTGCAACCAATGTGATTGTCCTGGTCATAACAACAGTAAATTGAGGTAAAGACTGAATGTAATGACAGCTTTCATAACCCAATCCAGTTCCTGTGGTAACAGGTGGGAGATAGGATATTGGCTCATAACCCCTCCCCCCATCCCCCCTTTCTCCTACTCCCCCATTAATCATCAAGTTTCCACATCAGTTTAAATACACCTTATTTGCATGGATATATTGTAAATTGTGTAGCATTTTTCCAAGCTCTACAAAAGTAAGGAAAAATTAAAGATATGAGCAAGATTTCCACTTGCATTTTAAATTAAACCGGTAAATAAGGGATTCTTAATTCCACTACTATACCACTTTCTTTTTCTGTACTATGAGAAATACATCCCATGGTCTATCTGAGCATAGTATTGATCAAATATGGCCTGTGTAAAAGATGAAAAAAAAAAACAAGCCGAACCACTGAGGTGTTTTTCCAAGACTAACAAAAAATGTGATGCATTTTAGAGTTAAGTTCATAGACCCTCTTGCTTATAGCTCTAATACTAATCAAAGTGCAAACGTTTACACCAATTAACAAATTGTACATACCAGCATCAAGATCAGTCAATATGCTATTCACAAACTCACACAGAAGTTTCTTCATTTGGTTTGCTGAAGTATAGTGTTCTTGAGTACTAAGACTGGATAAATATGGAATTGAAAAAAGGGAAAAAAAAACCTCACGTGAGTCAGCAAAATATAAACTTAACTTCATCAATATTTGATATGTATACAGCAAGATTACTTCACTAAATCGCAGTTTTTATTACAAATTTCGGGATTATTGTGTAACAAGTTAAAACATTGCAATCCCATGTCCCCATTTTTTTACATCAACACTCTTGTGTCTGCACCTTCGACAGTCAGCCTCAAATCAATCGACATCATCTCCCAAGTCACGTTCTTAAACCTTCCACCCCTGCGGGTGACAAGCATCTAATTTCTGTAAATGTAAGGGCCATGACGAGAAAGGCAATGATCTCCGATGAATAAGCTTATGATTCTTAAGCAAAATCTCCTTGTCAGTACCACTGGAAATGTAGACAGATCAGTGTGAAGAATATAAATACTGATGTTCGGTAGCTACATATAACGAAATCAACATGGTAAATTAAAAAAACCGATTTCCACGTACCTTTCGGGATTTCGTCTAGCGATTAATGTCGCCATAATGGGTGCGAGTTTCTCGCTCATAGAACTAGAAGTATTTGCCATTCCTAAATCGTAGATTTTCTTTATTTCTCCTGGCTATTCATTTTCAAGAGGCAATTTGCTACAAACCCAAGCATAATGATACACTCCACTACAATTCTCCCGCCATCTTGCTAAAATACCGCGCTAATGCTGGGTATGACTCGCTCTAGTCCCCCAGCATTTATAAAATGTAGGAATACATGGCGTGCAAAATGCGCTTGAGGTACATGTGTTTTCGCTCATACCAGTTCCACTACAACGCAGCTGTCTCAGGAAGAAAAAAAAGTCAAAGGTATAAAAATCTATCCGTCAAAATAAAAGAAAGGCTTTGAATAAAGGTAAAAACTGTTGACATTTGAAAAAATGTCAATCATTTGTTGATAAACAACTCACGGAACAAAAAAAAACACCCGTTAGATTACATATGCCTGCGGGACGTGAATACCAAGGGAGGCACGAAAGGGGGAAGGCGCGATAAGTAGGATCTGGAGGAATACACCAGAGAGGAGACCATGGATGTGTACTCTTTCGGATTGAAAAATCAGGGGAAGCTACAGCCAAGATCAACCACTGAAACAATGAAACTTAATGCCCGGCAATAAAGACATCATTTAATTCGGCACAACCTAGAAGGTGTCTCTTTCTGATCAAATCGAGAAAGCTTTTCATAGTTTTGAAGAAGAAGGGTTAGATGGGTTTCCTTGGGGAAAAATGTGTATCTCAGGGATCCTTTCTAAAGTTGTATTTTGTTTCACTCTATTTCAGGAGCAAGCGTGTACGTGTACAAACTTGCTCGTGTTGTATGTGGATGTGCATTCTATGACTTATGTCCTATCTCTTTATCGAATTATTTTAATTGTTATTTGTTTCATTTTCTACTCCGATGATTGCTTCCGCTCAAGTTATCGATGCGTCAGGCCCTACTAACGACCACGGTCTTTCTCAGGACTTCACTCACCCAGACGATCAGACTACACTATCAAAGAACGTGTACGTCAAAAAAATGTGATTAGAATGTATTAAGTCGCTGCTATTACTTTAATATCTCAAAATAAATGTAATAAAATCCTTCTTTTTTTTTTTTTTAATTTCGCGTACGTTTTTAAAGTAAGGTTATAGGAGCTCGTGTTAACTTTGAATAACAAATCAGGATTGTGTAACATATCTGCCGGCTTTTTTTTAAGTGAAAATTTTCCGCGAAAAATTATAGCGATATCTTCTTCAACGTGAACTAGTGTTCTGTCATCTACAGTCCATGTAAGGCTAATGGAAGAGAATGATGTTATTTTTTTTATCCAAAGAAGTGTGATTCGCTAAGTATGAAGCCACAACAGCAGTACATATATTAGCAATTGTAAATACATATCACGAAGAAGAAATTCAAAACACTTCCAATCAAGCAGCAAAAGTTCTTCGGTTTACATTATTGCAAAAACGGCTTAAAGACGGGCAGCAAAATAAAGTATCATTATAATTTGCGGTTCTAAAGCTCAAATAATTGCCACATTCGGAATTTAACGAGATATTAACTTTTTGGTTTTAGCACGAGTACATTTATCCTCACTGAGTGATATTGCAAAAGGTGCTTTGTTAAATCGCGGGTGATGTGTTTTCTGTATTCCCCTGCTCTTTGATTCCTGCAGTTTCTAGACCCACCAAATACAGGAGCACCAAAAGAAACAGCAAATGAGGAAATCCACCGACAGTTCACCTCTTTGTGCTCTGAGCACCATTTCCTCATCTTCCTCCCAGTTTTCTTGGCCGTGATCCTTTTGTTTTGGCATGAAAAATCGATTTTTCTGCTAGCAGTTAGTACTTGAAGTAAACAACACAAGCTCCTGTTCTTCCTTAAAATTAATTTCCTCGAATTTCTGGGGATAGATGTGCAGTCACCTCTGAGAATTGTTTTGATTCTTGAGTTTTTTCCACCGAATGCGAGCTTACTAGACATATGTAAACGACACCCGCAATCTACCTGTTACAGAATAAACGAAATACAATGTTCGTTCAAATGAACTTGAAACATTTCCAAAACGTTTTGCATTGTGATAGGTGAGTCAATAGTTAAAAAACGTCAAAATAAAGGTTTCAGTGATGTAAACTAGCAAGCCAAGTTTTTCAATTGTTTGAAATTTTTCCAAAAATTACTATGCAGATTTCAAAACTGGGCCCAGGTACATTATAACTAAAAAATGAAGCTGAAGAACTGTTCAAATATTTTATTTCCATCATTCATTGTGGAGATGATTTATAAAGCGTGAAAGGATATCGAATTACTTAAACTAATTTATTTTATTGGCCCAATGGCTAGCACTCTCTCGTAAATATAGAGTTAAAAATTGCCTTAATGCGCAAAAAATGTTCGTTGTGCAAAACGTGTTCCCCTAAATATACATGAAACGCGTTAACCATTTACACCCTAACCTAAGTATTTATATTCTCCACAGTGTTCTCTTTACATTTCCTCTAGTACTGAAAAGGAGAATTTGGTTGACAATCAGCAGCTTCTGGAATTAGTGATCATTATCTTTATTCTCATGAACTTTGTATTTGATTCAAGGAAGATAATGTAAGGAGAAATTTGAAGCCAGTCACTCTTAAGGATTAAAGGAATAATAAGCTCTTCTTACTACTAATTTGTACAATAGAGAAAAACAGCATCACGTTTACCAAATCGCTCGAAATACCGATTAATTCACTAAGGTGCTCAAGTCCATGCGTATCACAAATCTAAGTCAGACTCGTGACTAGGACTGGTGCCATGATTATCTTGACGTTCTGCTTGTGAAGTAGAAACGCTTGAGATTAAATCTTGAACTTAAAATTAGACTAGCTTTATATCTTAACTGCGCTTTTACTGCTTATTAATGATATATTTATGTTTTGTTATTACTTAAGGATGATTTGATTCTAACAGTTTATGTTGGAAACGGCAGCACCTCGAGTCTCTAATAAACTATTTTAAAGAAGGCTCACTCCGTTGGCATATGGATGCGATGCAATATAGTGCGTCTTTAGGGCATTCTTTTGATAAAATGCTTTACTACAAAACTGACATTGGAAAGGTTTCTTTGGAGCGTGTGTTCTCTTGTGTGTGTTCAAAGTGGAAGCCAGTGTAAATCCTTTCCCACAGATCTGGCATTTGAAAGGCCGTTCACCGGTATGGCCATAGATGTGAGCCTGCAAGTTTCCCTTCTGGTTAAAACCCTTTCCACAATACTCGCACTGGTACATGCGCATCTCGGAATGGGTTCTCAGATGGTACGTCAAATGTGTCAACTGCTTGAAGCCCCGCCCACATTTGTCGCACTTGTGGGGCTTCTCTCCCGTGTGAGTGTAGCGATGGATCTTCATGTCAATTTTCTGATGGAATCCCTTTCCGCAGAAGTCGCACACAAATGGCTTGTAATTAGTATGCGTGCGCATATGTGTATGCAAGTTAGACGCACGGTTGAAGGCTTTGTTGCACTGCACGCACACGTACGGTTTTACGGTGGTGTGCGTCAGTCGGTGACGTGTCAGGTTTCCCGGCTGCCTGAAGGCGCGGCCACACTGCTCACAGATAAATGGTTTATCTCCAGTGTGGATGCGTTTATGAGTCGTTAACGTATTCGAGCGGCTAAAAGATTTGTCGCATACATCACAAGTGTAGCGGTATTTTTTGCTGGAGGAAGCATTTGTCTTGGCAGGTTTTTGTTGCAAATTCGTCTCTACATTGCTTGCAGTTTCGCCATTCTGCGGACCCAGTTTCAAATCTTCTTCAGAACTTGACGGGAGGAACGTGGAATACTCGGGAAGAACTGCTGATGTTTTCTCTTGTTTCACAAATCTACCGAGGTCGCTGAATTGAAGGAACGAAGACAGTTCGAACTTTCCGTCTCCATCCTCTTCGAAGTTGACACTTAGGGCAGAGCTGCATTGTGAGACACTGTTCTCCACATCTGATTGATGGCGCACCGATTTTTCGTTAAAGAACTCTCGTGAAATGCTTTCAGTAACATGACCTTCCCAGCCATCTCTCTCCAATTCTACGTCTTGTAAATCGTCTCCATCATCCCTGACTTCTTGTTTGATTCTCAACGGTACAAAAGTGCTGTTTGACTTTAACAGTTGTACGTCATCAACGGTTTCACCGTGAAAGTTCATATCACTAGAGTTGCGCTCAACCTTCATGGGTGCGCTGAGGTACTGGAAGGCGCTCTGATTGGCTGTGAAAATTCTCTCCTTTGATTGGTGGAACTCAAGATTTGAGGACTTTTGAAAATGATTCAATTCCAACCCTCTCTCTTTCAGGAAAGGGCCTTGGATGTCGACTGTGTGAGGGTCTTCGATCTCGGTCGCTTTTACTTCAGCATGCGGCAGCTTTTCGATGAATGCTTCTTCTGTACAGATAAAGAAAAGGAAAATGTATATTGCTTCTGTTGGACTATCATGGAGTAAAGACTTCTACAATAATTTTCCATGAACCAATATTTTCAGCCTAACATCAGCATGAACATTCTCCACACTAATCTCCATAAATTCTTAAGGTACTGAAAAGGAGAATTTTCCTTTGAACAATTTAGAGTTCTTTGCTTGGTGATCATTTCCTTTGTTCTCATTACCTTAGTGTTTGATTCAGAGGTGATATGTTGAGGAGAAATTAGATGTCAGTCACTCTAAAGGGTGTTAAACATAGGTAGAAAAAACTGGGCGCTTTATCTAGGAGCATGTTGCATGTGGAAGCACACAAATATAAAACCCAGAAAATATTTTCGATGGAAGAGTGCATTCCATGCTATTTTTTTCTTCGAAGAACCTTCGAAGTTTTCTGAAAAAAAACAAGTGCCCCTAATGGTTTGTACTAAGTTAGAAAACGCTCGCATCTGAGAAGGCTGAGGACATGGTTGGTTTTCATTCTATAACTGGTGAATGAAAAAGCACAGATGATGGTTTATTCTTTCAATAAGTGATCGCAACTGTTGGAGTAAAAGGGGTCGTTGACGTATCCCTTTTAACTCCATAAGTGATCAAGACAGAAT